CGATGCTCGGCATGTTTTCGATGATCTTGATAATTTGGTCGTAGTCGTCCGGGAGACTCCCAGTAGGATGACGAGTTGTTCGTCATACGAGATTTCTTCACCGACTGCCTGCATTGACATGCATAGCTCATCGAACTTGAGAAAATGGTCCATGACATTTCCGCCCTTCAACATCTTGAAGTCGTGTAGCTTTCTGCGCAATTGTACTCGATTATGGATACTGCGTCTTAAAAAGAAGCTCTTGAGCATTTTCCAGGCTTGGGCAGTCGTCTGCGCATTGCGTACCATCGACTGTAGGTTGACGCTGATCATGGTCGATATCGTCGCGAAGACCTTCATACCGTTGACTTCCCATTCTGACGCATATGCGTCACCAGCACTCGGGTCCTTCGTTGCGTCGATATGTTGGACAAGTCCCTTCTTTGCGAGTTTCATTCGTGCGTTAAACTCCCACACGATGAAGTTGTCTTCGCGGAGTATGTCGCTCGCATCATTGGTTGTTGGGCTCATAACCTCTTAAGTTTTGAGAGTCGAGAGGATGAGAAGAAGATTGTTGTCGGAGAGTGGAAACATGGAAAGTGATTGAATCCTACTTATGCTGGCTGAAATGACTGGTTGCTACGCGAACTTGAGCGGAACCTTCTACAACCACAAAGTGATGTTGGTTCTGGTCTGGTTGAACCTCAACCTGATAATGGTTCAGATGCTTGATCACGTAATAGTGACGAACCTTGCTGACTTCAGGATGACGAACTTTGCTGACTTCAACAAATTGTTGATGCCTCATTGGTTCGGTGACATGGAACCGGTTCTTACCATGTTTCAGAGCTTTACGCACTTCTGATTTATGATATCTGGATCTAGAATCAGTCTTGTTGAGGTTTTGTGACGCCACGCCGCAGATCTATGTACGGTGCACAATGGTAACTTGCAAGTCAAAATGGAACCCTTTAGAAGATCAAGTTTGCAAGGTTACAGAACATGCGTAAGTAGTTAGGAGTTCTGGTATCTAATTTTACTTTCATTCTGTGCTGCAAGTAACTCATAACCATCAGTAAAAGTTATGAGCTCAAACGCTTCCAAGTCCAACGAGATACTTACCGACAGCAGCTACTGCCTGTGGAGGTTTAACACCCGGACGGCGTTGGCCAGAAAGGGGCAACAAAGACACCTCGAACCCATGAAGCCAGAAGACGCAGAGCGCCGTGAGATGGAGAAGTGGAAGGCCGCCGACATGAAGGCACTGGGTATTATAGCTCAAATTCCAAGTCAACCTACCAGTCGATGATTCGTGACGCGGATTCTGCGTACGAAGCATGGAAAACGTTGCGAGCTTTCTTCATGAAGCATTCACTTCTTAACCGTGCGCTATTGAGGAAAGAGCTGCATGGATTTTCGCTAGGCACGAGAGGACACCTGATGAAGCACATCGTAAAGTTTGATGATCTGTGTTCTCGATTAATGCGGTAGGCAAGGTCGTGTCTGAGGACAAGAACTGGTTACTTTAATGGAAGTGATGCAATGATACGTATTATCGAGGCCCACGAGTAGGTGATGTTGCTGGACGCAAAAGAGATGCTACACCGTGATATCGAGGTGGGTAAGAAGAGAGAGAGGAAAGAGCAATAAAGCACAGCCTCGATGCACGAGCAAGGTAATAAGAGTGGTCGTGAAAGAGGTCACAGAGGCCGATGCAGTGGTCGAGGTGAACGTGGTGCTCGTGGCCAGCACCAGAAGAAGAATACTGGGTCAACATAACGTGGGGACTGCTTTAACTGCAATGAGTACGGTCATAAGCGTGACGACCATTTTGAGTTATAATAATTGGAGAATGACTTTGATTTCTCGGCCACGATGGATGGTTCAGCACGAAAGGTAACCTGGCTGCTTGATAGTGGATTTAGCTGCCACATGACGGATGAGAAGATGGACTTTGTGGAGTATCAAGACTTAAAGATGCCAATCATTTTCATCGTGGAAAGTGGATAGCAAATGCTAGCCAAAGTAAAAGGCGCTGTGCGCTTTTATTGTTGGATTTGCGCAAACGATGAAATTTACGGAGGTTCTGTACGTGCACCGTTTGGATAGGAAGCTGGTGTCCGTTCTGACGTTAACCGAACATGGTGTTGTTGTACAGTTCGAGCGCGATCGAGCGACGGAGAGGCCGCGATGACAGCTGCTCATGTGCTGAATCGTATATCGGATACTGCACGTCGCAACAAGACCCCAGTCGAATTTTTCAGTGGCACGCAGCCCTCACTCGAACATGTTCTAGTATTTAAATCTACCGGGTACGTGCATCTCGACAAGAGTAAGAAGATGAAGTGGGACGCGAGGTCGCCCCGCTGCATCTTCTTGGAATATGCTGACGGCTCGAAGGCATACCGATCATGGGACTTCGACAACAAAAGACCGGTCAAAACGCGCACGCTAAATGAGTGGACACCTGCTCGTTATCATGATGTTGTTCTCGTTTATAGTGGAGATAAGCAAACGTGGTTCGCGCTCGAAGACGACGACGACGGGTTTAGTGCGCCGACATGTGCAAGTACTCCCACTGCCACATACATGGAGATCAAAAAAATGGGAGATGATCTTATATGTATGGAGGTAGATAGCTCTGTTGTTCCAGCTGCCAAGGTTCCGCTTGAGGGGGGTTACTCGAGTGGTTCTCGCGCTGTCGCTGGCACTACACATTTAGGCGAAACTTCGTTGGAAATTTATCCTGAACGAGAACTTCGATGTAGTCGCCCCAACAATACTAGAGCTATCTCGTCCAGACAAGTACCGCTGTTACCTGCCCCTACTCGCGATATTGAAGCCCCAGTACAATCCAGGCGAGTAACTTTCGGTGATGATTCCTTGTTGTCTCGCGGTGGATCAAGGTCTGGGCGTGAATCTCATGTTAAATAGTCTCGACTATTAATTAACGGAGATGAAGCTGATGACACGCCTCTGCTAGCAAATGAACCACATGTGAGCTCTCAAGACTACGGTGTGACTGAAGAACCAGGCCTCAGACGTCCTCGGCTTGATGAGTATGAGACCGCATTGGTTGCTACCTAAGTTCTCGAGAGCTACGCAGAAGCGATGACATCACTCGAAGCCAAGCAGTGGAAAGAAGCTATTTGCAAAGGCTCTAGGGCACACATTCGCAATCACACTGGGGGATTTGCTTAGGCCCGCATGGTGCACGTGTTATCGGGTGCAAGTGGGTATTTGCAAATTTGATGAGAGCTGGCGCTTGGCTGTTTGCAAACTCGTGGTGTGGGCTACTACTACACACACTCCCCGGTGGCGAGCAACAATATTATTCGCGTGCTCCCTGCGGTATGCTGTAGCAAGCGTTTAAAGATCCGACAATTTGACATTCTAACCGCTTTTATTAATAGGATGGTTGTTGAATACGTGTACATGGCCGTGCCACAAGGTGTCGGGCTGTCAACGAGTTTGTATGCAAGCCGCAGCGACATTTTTATGATGTGAAGCAAGCCGCTGCAGTCTGATACAAGATTTTTCGAGCTGCATTTGTTGACATGGGATTCGTACAATGCCCTTCAGATCCATGTATGTTTGTCCGTCTCGTCAATGATGACAAGTCTCCTGTGTATATCGTACTATGTGTCGGTGATTTGCTTGTCGGTTGTATTACGGATGCTGAGGCAGATGCGATTTATGCTACACTTAGAGTCCAATTCACTGTGAAATCTCTTGGCGATGCTTGATATGTTCTAGGGATGGAGATTGAGTACGCACCGCAGAAAAGAGAGTTTGTGTTGAGGCAGACCCTCTTTATCAAGAGAATGCTCGAGCGATTCAAAAAACTGAAGCAAATGCTGTGCGTAATCCGATGGTGCCTGGTCAGGACCTTACGCCAGACAGATCGCATGAGGCATACAAAAATGATCGGGGCTACCGAGAACTAATTGGGTCTCTTTTGTACGTCACCAATGCTACCAGGCCCGACAGTAGCGCTATTTTGTCGACACTCTCGCAGTACCTGGATTTATCATGTGATGTGCACTGGCGGGCGGCAGTGCGCATCCTGAACTATCTCAAAGGCACATCTACACATGCGGTGCGGTTCTGCGCTGGGACAAGTAATCAACTCAGTATTGAGGCTATGCAGACGCAAATTGGGGAGCGACAAGTACACGAGGCGCTCAACGTCTGGAGTAATATTGCTACTATCAGGTGGGCCGGTATCAAGAGCAAGTGGCAAACCACGGTGGTTTTGCCTTCTGCTGAAGCAGAGTATATGGCACTTGCTTTGGACACGCTAGAGGACATTTGGCTACGCTACCTTTTGGTTGAGATGGGGTTCGAGGCTGAAGGCTCCATCACGATTCGACTAGACAACAAATCTGCGATCAGTATGGCTACCAACTTAGGTCACACGCCTCGCACGAAGCACATTGACCTACGAGCTCAATTTGTGCGAGACGACGTTGAACTAGGAGGCATCCAGTTAGCGCCCGTACCCACGGAGGATCAACTGGCCGACTTCTTAACTAAGGCGATTCCCACGCCTGTTGCTGTTAGGTCGGAATAGCGGGATCGACGATGTGCGAGGGGGAGTGTTGAGGTGTTGTGATACCACGTCACAGATTTGTGTATGGTGCACAATGGCAACTTGCAAGTTGAACTCGAAGATCAACTTTGCAAGGTTACAGAATATGCGTTAGTGGTTAGGAGCTGGTTAGGGTTCTGGCAGTTTCCATTCTGCGCTGCGAGTAACCAGACGTCGTTGAAATATCATTGATGTAACGTTGAAATACCACTCGAATTTTTAAGGTCACACTAAAATTCCAACTTTACTTTTTCGAAAATGATTATAGTTCTGACCATTTGTAGCGAAAACTCTAAAAATCTGTTACCTTGATGCACCAGTCAGAGCTTCAAGCTGATCGCCTGGCTCTCCGCGTTGGCTTTTAGTCCTGGCTCACGCACCGGACCAGCACTTCTGTGATATGAACATTCAAGTCGACAGTAAAGTGAATTATCTCACAGTGAAGAGATTGCTCGTTTCCTGGAGCTTAAGATATATGATTCTTACAGCAACGTTTACGAAAGTAGACTTTGGACATAGTGTTGTTGCAGCTTAGACTTTGAGAGACCAGGCTAAATATTTGGTTGCAGAATTACAAGTGTCGGGGTCCCATGAAAAAAAAATAGCGTAGGTCCATTGATGGCGTCAAACAGGTTTTGAATCATATAGACCTCGGAGGAAGTACGTACCAGTACATCCAAATTGTGTCAATATCTCGACACATGTCAAGCTTGACTTTGGAGTTTAGTTTGAAATTTGGTAGCTATAAGCATCATGTCCATTGGTATGTCGACTCAGCTCGAAGATAAAATGGAACTGGTCAAGAAATTGAGAAAGGTTTCAAAAGCGTGGAGGTTATAGCCAGGAGTGAATATTTGCTGGCTTCGAGAGCCTGCCTCTGTCTCGCCGAAGAAGTGGATGCTACCAATTAAAAATAATAAAAAGATGTAGATGCACAATATCGGGCCGCACATATTCACTATTATGTATACTTTATTTATGTTCAAGCTGGCGATTGTTTGGATAGAAGGTGAGCAATTCCGAAGAGGCAATAATGACGTGATGCGACTAAGTCGTGATAATTCCAGCGAGCTGCATTGAAGTTGAAAAAAGTGTAAGCACATCCAGTATTGGTACGACAAGTTTATGACTTATAGAAAAAGCTCGTTTTGAGCATTCACTTCATGATAAGACCTACAAGAGATGCGATATATATCGAGGCAATGAACGCGCCAGGGTTGCTGTCTTCAGACCACGAGCGGTTTATTGGCGTCTTCAAACGAGCATTTGCTGTTTTAAGGTTATCTACATCGGGTAGATACCCTGTCGTGACCAATAGGAGCGTCTACACGGTGTAAAATTAAACGCCGTAGCTTATTGCGTTATCGGAATGGCATAATTAAGGACATTTTCGAGAACCGCAAACAAGTTTTCAAGGGAGATTGACACTTTGGCCCAAAATTGTCTGCCGAAAGTGCATAACTGTATGACGCAGATGGTTTACAGCATCCAAAGCTTGTTGTAATTTTAAAAGCTATATACACTGTGTGCCGTGAATTATCTTCCTCAAAGTAGATCAGTCGATGGCTTGCTTTGAAACTTTATCAGAGTAGATTATTTGAGGAAAGAAGTATTTTTGATCACAAACGTCAAGCTTCTTACGATTATGTGTCGCTTGCGCAAGCAACTTATTTTTCTTAATTACGAACCAGTCAAGATTATTGAGTGTGGTGACAGACCTACAGAACTAATATGGTCAATTAGAAATAATGGACATCATCATCGGTATTTTCAAAATGGGTCTGGTATACTCGTACGGTCGAGGCGACCAGACGCCAGCAGCACCTTTTGATGAGTCCAAAAGAGCTCGGCTTGATCTATATTGTTAACCCACCAGATAGTAGTTCAAAAGTAGTCAAAACCAGACCGACAAAGTTTTGTGCTGATTATTGTCTTCCGAGTCTAATAGTAACATTCAGTAAATTTATTCATGAGTAACGTTTGGAGAGATTGACGAACTTGATGAAGCGTGGCTCTGATCATTCGCATATATCTTTGTTCAAATACAAAAATATACGAAAGATGAAGTTAAAGCCAACGACTGTCTCCTAAACCCTAGACTTATAATTGTTCGGACAGCTGAAGCAAACTTAAATTGTAACCTGATCTATGGCAAACAGCAACCATAGCATTATACCTACCGAGGAATGGTTAGCCGTTAGGCAAAACTGTTAAGGCAACTAGACTCAGCGATTGGAGTATTAATCGCTGATCATGATTAAAATTGAAGAAGGCTAATTAATACACAATGAACTACTTATCATTGAGTGTGTAGTTATGCATCCTCTTGCTGATAGCTTACCGTAGGATGCTCGAGTGGTTCACACGCTTAAGAGTCGTACTTTAACGTAAGGCACCCAGTCTTAAGAATCAATGAACGTAGGCCACTGGTGTAAAAAAAGAATTTAAATTATGTAAAAGTAGTGTACATTGAGCATGTACAACGTTTATCTGACGTTTTGGCAATCATGGTACGAATTATCACGCAGGATCAATTGCTCGTTAATGAACTTAAGCTTTTTACGCAGGATTAAGTATAGCAAATGTAGCTGATCACGAAGTATCAGCGACAATTTAATGCTTGCTTGAAGAAGAATACTGAATTTTAGCCCTTTCGTACGTGATGGCACCCATTTTCACACAGAAATCGTGAAATATCACGTACCAAAGTGCGAACCACGGGATATCATCTCTGTCCGCGCACAGCTGTACAATCGCGTCATTCGTTATACGTGAGCCAGGATACGTAATTCTGCGTTGGTTCGCAATGGCGAACAGACTCCTTGTTTGATCCAACGTCAAACCATTGAGCAGCTTCAGGGCGCTGTCAGGAGGGGCCGCTGTTACAGCTTTGTCGATAGCAAGATGAAGATTTACACTTTTATCACGACGATTGTATATCGGAGTGGGAGGTTTTTCCGAAAGGGTTAACGCTAGGTCCAAGTCCGATTCCTTAGGCGCTGGCATGGCGGTAGAAGCTTCGGCACGCATGGAGTCCTTAAACACTTGGATCTTCTGTTTGACATTCCTAGCTGCTACGCCTTCGTGCCTCGTATTGTATACGTAATTGGCGAAATCCAATATTGTGACGGCTTGCTTGCGTTTTGGTCGAAGTTTTTATAAGCTCTAAAAGCCGCGGGAGAGCCCAGTTTTTCCATGATCATCTTGCTTAAACCATCACCACCAATTTCCAATATCTCGTTACTGTTCTTTCTTGCCAATTCTGTCGGTAATATTAACCTAATTGCATCTTCGCTTGTCTTTTCAATCATTTCAGCTAAAGTGCTGCGCTCTTCATTAACCATGGTGGGCGGCATTTATGAGATGCACCAGCCCAAAAAGAATTGATACGTGTGATTGT